TTGCAAAATAAAACCATACTTAAAGAGTATATAAAATTTTAAATCTCACACCTTCAACTAAAATTGCAGTGTTCTGCTAACACAGGAGTCATGTGGGCACTGTCCAAGTCTTGAGAAATGCATTTCTCTATGAAGGTGCAAATGAGAGATTGTCTTTCTTTAGCCACTTTGTCTCCATCTTCTTTCCTACTTTGCTAAAAGTACCGCTGGGTTTGTGTTGTGTTGGGAAGATGAAATGAGAGTTATGACATTTTTTCATGGCAGGGAAAGATGCACACTGCTGTGGGTTGTATGTTGATGACCCCCAAAGCCTCGTACGCTCATAGGTGGGGCTTTTTGAACGTGGCTGGATCTAGGGCTTACTAAATGGGTTTAGCACTGTTCTGGATGTGGATAATGGAAGCCCCATCATAGGTGTGGGTAACCAATCAATAGACTTATAGGCTGGATGTGAGAGAGGTCAGGACCCTCTGTGCATTTTCTGTGCAAACTGATCATCCCAGGGCCTCCAGTTCCTGTATTAGGCTCCCACACTCCAGTCCAATATTCTGTTCTGATCACCCAAGTACTATGTACTAGGAAACAACGGTTAGATCCTATGCTTCAGGGCTCAATGACATTATTTATTTTTAGTTTTTAAAAATTCTTTTATTTGGTATGGGGTCTCACTATGCAGCTGGGACTCATAGTGATCCTCCTCTCTCAGCCTCCCCAGCCCTGGGATTACAGGGATGTGCCACCATGCCCGGTTTTGGTGGCTGGCTCTGTGCAGGACCAGCATGGCATGCAGTACCAGGATCAAAGCCAGGTCCTTGTGCTTGCCAAGTAGGCACTTAGACCACCGAGCTTTCTCCCTAGCCCAGTGACATTATTTAGACTATCCAATCCTAAATCTGCTTACTCTGCCTTGCCAATAGAAACCACAATAAAAACCTATGCCCATGCCCATGTCCTGCCTTCTGTCCAACCCTGGTGCATCTGTGTTGTCTGCATGATGTGTATTGGATTTGGTTGTTTTCTTGAAGTACTGGGGATCAAACCAAGCGCTTCATGCATGCTACATAAGCACTCTTTCAGAGTTGTACTCCCTAGCCTTGCATTAGTTTTTCTCGAATACTATTTCACAAGTCTGTTATGCCCTCTTGAGATTGTTGAGTTATACACTACTATCAGTGGCAGTCATTCTCTGATGTGGTCCTCACCATGTCATTCCCCCAAAAGTTCCTATGGTACAGTCTTGACCCCCATATGGCGTAATGGAGGTGGGGTCTAACAGGAAGCTTCCCTTGTGAGTGGAATAACACTTTTACTTGGAATGAATTCACTCCCTCTTGCTCCCATTGCCCTTCTGCTATGTGATGAGGCAGAAAGAAATTCCTTGCCAGATGCTAACACTTTAATCTTGAACTTCCCATCTTCCAGACAGCTGAAAATGATTTCTCCTTATCCTAAATTATACAGTCTATGGCATTCTGTAATAGTAAGCATGAAATGGACTAACACATCATACCTGAATGATAATACAACCTATATTTTAAAACAGTCTGGGGCCAAATGTTTATTACTTTGCAAAGCAGAAATTTCAGCAGTGGACTAGGAGGGAAGGTTCTCTTGGTGCTATTTTTTCATCCAGGGTAACAAAGAATAAATCTACTTTTTCCCCCCAAGCAATAAACTATTAGATACCTGGACATATCTACAATTGTTTTTGTTAAAATACCTTATAGGAATCTATAGACCTTTTGAGGCTTTCTTTCCACTTCCTATGATTAGCATTTCAAATTATTCTAGCTTCAATGGCCAGTGGATCATTTACCATTTCTAGTTTTCTTAAGGATGGTTGACTCTATTAATCAGTTTTGAAACTGTCTCATTGATATTTGTTTCTCAATAAAATTTTTAAAAAAGGATGGTTGACTCATAGACTAAGCATGCAAAATCTTAGCAGGCTTGTAGCCTTCAGTGGTTCGTCAGTGTCCTTTATAGAGTGCAGCATCTATGAAAAGTGGTCTGCTCCACACAGGCTTCACTGGCACTGACTTTTTTACATCTGGAGTAAGGGTACACAGTTTCCTAGCATGTCATCAGCTGTCTGAATCCTTTTAAGTAAATTGCTTTGAAACACACTGCACTCTCTAACTGCCTGAGTTGGCATTTTGTAGATTTTTAGGTTTGCAGATAGGAATGTAAAATTTATCACTGTCCAGCATGTAACCTTTTTTCAGAGTTTCTCTTTTTACTTGTTAAAATTATTTTTAAAGCAAGCATGGTCGTGCATGCCTATAATCTCATCATTCTGGGAGGAAAAAGGCAGGAAGGTCATAAATTCAAGCCCAGTCTTCTGGGAAACTTTGGAAGAAACTGTCTAAAAATAAGAAAAAAAACACAAGGTTGAGATGTAGCTCAATGAAGGCCTTGGCTCAATCCCCAATCCTGAAAACAAAAACAAAAACAAAAAAACCAAGAAACAACTAGTTTCCTGTAATCTTATTCCCAAAATACATTTTGGTACACGGTACCTTAGATTTTTTTTCCTATGAATGAATCTTCCGGTTTTAAAAAATGGATTAGATTATACATAGGGATTTAAGAACCTGTATTTTTCACTTATCAACATGTCTTGGATACTTTAGAGTAATATTACTCCAATTAGCGAAGTTCTTGAGGAAAGGCTATCTTTAAGATTTTCTGATACACCACACATAACTGATTCAGTTTATGAATGATTAACTGTAAGGTTATAAAAAAAGATTCCTATGTAATTACAGATTACACACTTCAGCCAATAATGTGACAATTTTGCCTTAAAAGTTCTATATTACTAGTGGATAGTGTGCCTCATTGACCTTTCTAATTATATCTAACATTATTCTGTACACTATTTAATAATTTTGTTCCCAGTTGTTTAAAGGGCAAGTTGAAAGGGATTTTCACATACATGGAAGAAAAGTAGTTAGCTGGTTTTATTATGGCCTCACCCATTCACACGGAGAGCCCGGCCAGCTTCCCACAGTACTTCCCTGGCACGATGTATAAACAATGCATGTAAAAGCGAGCACTAGGGGGTTTAATCCATGTATGAGTACTGTGCCTCAGTATATCTGTGCGCAAGAAAATTCCAGTCATCTCACAATCTTAGTGGCTTTGCATCATGTAAAATAAATTATTGATTTAATATATTTTGCCACTTCCAAGATTTCATGTTTCTAGCTAAGCTTCACATCTGTATCTAAACTTACATAAGAAGTAAACAAAATTAAGATATGTGAACAAAAATGTCACACATTTGTTAGTTTTTGATGTAGTAAAATTCAAATTACTATTTTATACTATTTTTAAATTCATAGTTTATAATCCAAGTGGAAAACATCCCAATCTTATCTGATGAGCCAAAGGCAATTAAAAGCCAAGTTTTTTCTGTTTTAAATAAAATATAAACTGGTGATTCACATTGTTTCACATATTAAACATTACATATCATTTACAATGTTTAAATTACTTAAATAATACTTAGAATAAAACAATAATTTTCAGTAAGTGTGAAAAGCTACCCTAGTGTGGACAAATAGATTATTACAATACTCAGAATCAAAACAGTGGACAGGTTGAGTGTGATGGTGTATGCCTATTAATTCTAAAACTCTTGGAGGATGAGGCAGGCAGGAGGATCTAAAGTTCAAATACAGCCTAGATGACTTAGTAAGACTCTGTCTCAAAATAATGCGCTAGGGATACAACTCAGTGCAGAGGCCCTGAGTTCCAACCCCAGTACTCTGTGCCTTAAAAGAAAAAAGTAAGAGTGGGAAGAAAAGAGGGCTTGTGGATAATGTTTACTTAGCCAGAAATAAATGCAAAAATGTTTTCAGTCCTATCTACATTTATAGATAAGTACCATTCAATATGTAGGCTCTGTGTATATACTGTAATAATGTCATTCTATTGGCTGAAATTCTTTTAAAATTTCTCCTACATCAATGAGCTTTTAAAAATAATTTTAAGAGTTTTGATTTACAAAAGAAAATAAAAAGATTCCCACTACGTCCTCTTCCAGTTTCTTATTGTTAACATCCTACACTGGGGCATAACATTTGTTACAATAAATGAATAAATACTGGTACATTACTAACTGAAGTCTATGGTTTATCCAGGCTTTAGTTTCCACCTAATGGGCCTTTGGGGTTCCCTAATCCCATCCAGGACATCACGTTACACTGATTCTTCATGTCCCAGTAAGCTCCCTGCCTGGGGTGTGCAGTTTCTCTGGCTGTCCTTGTTTTTAATGACTCTGACAGTTCTGAAGCACACCATCAGGCATTCTGTAGGCTGTTCCTGTTATGGAGTTTGTCTAATGTTTGTTTCATAATCAGACTTAAGTTACAGATTTTGAAGAAAAAACAAAATGTTAATGTCAATGTAATTTCCTTAAGAAGAATTAAAAACACATCTAGACTTCATTGAACTGTTACTATAGATATAAATTATGTAGCACTAGAAGTAGAAAAGAATGATTTTAAATAAGCTTGGCAGTGGCTATGCTGGCACACACTTGTAATCCCAGAACTTCAGGAGGCTGAAGCCGTAGGTCATAAAGTTAAGCCTAGTTTATACAATTCAGTGACTTAGTGAGATGTTCTCTCATACTTTAAAATAAAAAAGGACTGGGGACATAGCTCAATGTGAAGGTTCTGGGTTTAATACCCAGTACCACAGAAGAAAAACGTTGGCTTTTAAAAAATAATCAAATTACAGATGCAGCTAAGTGGTAAAGCCCTGGCCTAGTATGTATGTGTGGGTCCCTGGGTTTAAATCCCAGGAGTGGTGAAGTTTAAAGGGCGGAAAGGCCAAAGAATGAAAAATGAGCAAGATATGTACCAATTCGCTCAAATGAGCAGCATTATTCTGTATTATAAACATGCACTATCTAAACATGCACTAAAATCAAAACAAAACCTAAGAGGTAGATAACATTAAAATCACTTTAATATACTTGTTCAAGAAAGTATGTTCTTTATGAATTAAAATTACTATGACATAAAATCAGATGAAAAAAATACAACACATAGCTAGTTCAACTCCACATATCTTTACGGGTAAAATGTGTGATTTTTTTACATGTTAGTAAATAAGTTACTCAAGGATATTTGCATTTTCAAAACACATCGTCATATTTTATCTACCAAATAATAAGCACTGTGCAGGAGTTTTCTAGCTTATGAGTAAAAAGACTGTCTTAGATCCTTAGAAAATTTTTATCAAAGCAATAATTCTCAAAGAAGCCTCTGCAGAGTAGTGGTTCTCAAACTTTAATATGCATCAGATCTGTCTGAGTGCTCAAGCACTGATTCCTGGTGCAAACCCCAACAGGTTCTCATCTAGGGGTCAGGTTGGGGCCTGAGTGTCCATTACTCTAACAAGTTCCCAGGTGATGCTGCAGGCCTGAGGCACAGTCTGAAAACCACCGCTTCACAGACATGCAAACTGCATTTATTCAGTGTGTACGATAAGGTGTTTCACATACATACTTATTAACTAGTTACAGAATCTTAATCAGTATGATTACCCTTTCATAAGTTGAAAAACCTGGAGCTTGGAGGCACTGAGGAGCTCACTCAATGGTGTCAGGCAGCAGAACTACAATTCAGATCTTCTTCTAATTCTAATGCTCAAGTTTTTTCTAGCACAATATATTGTACTGCTTCTTGTCGATAAAAGAAGTGAAATCTGTGTCCCACACATGCTTACTTGAAAAGGAATGTGCCTAAAGATGTGATCAGGTCAGTTCATCAGGGAGTTAAGTAAAGGACAATAACTCACTGAAAGCTAGGTCATAGAGAGGACTCATTTATATAGTATCTAAACTGCTAAAATAATCAAGGGCGAAATGAATTCACTGTACATGAACAAAGCAGGAAGAATGTATTTAATATAGAACTGAATATTCTTTAATTGCTATTATTTTGTTATTCCTTATAGAAAACACAGATTTAAATAAAAGCTCTTGAAAGAATAGCCTCATCTAAATTTAAAGCATCATACCTAGTCTACGTGCCAGCCAATGTGAACTACACCACTAATCAACCATTACTTACTTAGGTATTGAAATTACACAGTATGACGGTCTTCAACAAAATGCTGTAATCATTACTCTTTGTCTCCCTTCACAAAGCAAGTCCAAAGCAGAGATACAACACAACAAAATAAGCAAATTTAAGTTTTAAGAAAAATAGTACATTAACATGACAGATCACCAAAATGAAGTTGCCAATAATATACACTTTTGCCAACTGTTACAGTGTATATAAAAGATGACGGCAAAAATTACTGGACTACACACTTAAATTAATGAGGTCTAAATTTCAGAATGACAACACAATTCTACACCTTTAACAATACAAATATTTTATATAAGAAAGTCCCTTTTAAATATTTATATACATATTACTGTGTAATACTGCTACTCAAACCCATAGTTCTATTTAGTTAAATAAGAATTAAATAAATTCCCTAAAATGTTGATTTTCATATCACACAGCGTATTTTAAATCATAACTTTTGAGTGTATGGTGAACATATTGATTCCTTAGACAACATCCACAAGCAAATTTTTAAGAATATATTTTCATCTATAGATCAGGTAAAGCTTTATTAAATAGTAAACATTTAAACAGTGCAGAAATATAATATTCAAAACCAAATACATTCAAAAGATCTGCTGTTCGAACAGTATTTTTTCAAATCCTGGTGGAGGAGTATGATAAAATTCACTGAACTGGCAGTCCAAAATTGCACTGTCATCAACTAGAGGATGAAAAAAGAAAGAAAATTAGAAGCACATCTTAATCTGAATGAACACATAATTTTAAAGTTCACTGTTTTCAGTCTACGGATGAGTGCATGCTTAGTATGTGTGGAACACTGGGTTTCATCCCCAGCACCACAATAAAATTTAAAAAACAAAACCAAAAGCACTGTTTTCCTAAAACCACAAGATTAATAGGCAAGAAGAATAACCACATATGCTGTCTGGATTATAAAAAGTATTAGGTAAAAATAGCTGCAACATAGAACAAAATTTAAGAAAAACACTAGAAAGATATTAACTAAAACTTTATTAATAATTATTCTAAGCTGGTTTCAGTGTGCAGCTTGGTGCACACCTGTATTCCAACTTCAGCAGGCTTGAGACAGAAGGATCTCTTGAACCCAGGAGCCTGAGATCAGTTTAGATAATGTAAGAAAACTCCATGTCTTAAGTACAGCAAGTAATATTACTATCTTTAGATGGTGGAAATACAGGTAAGATTTTGGCGTTGCCTATCTTCCCCCCCTCAATTTTATACAATTAAGATATATTACTAATGATCTATTTTGAAAAAATAATATTCTTGGGAAGCTGCAGCAAACATCCTTCAGGGAGCCCTATGTATCTAATACAGCTTGTCCTGGTGCTAACGTCTCACAGAACAACAGCACACCATCCAGACCAGGACCTGACATTGATATGCAGCTGTGAACTGGGCTACAGGCCTAATTCAACTTCTGCTGCATATTTTTACCAGCATTTGCTCAAGAACAATAAATGTGTATATTTATACAAAGACTTATACACTACGTAGTTTAGGCTGGCCTTGAACTCACACAGTAGCCCAGGCTTGTCTCAAAATCTTCATGATCTTTGGTGGAATTACAGGTGGGTGCCACCACGCCCAGCTTAGTCTTTTAAATAACATTTTTTAAAAATGACTTTTTAATAACACTTCATCAGTGTTATGCAGTTTTTTTTTCTCTCTATAGGTTGAGTTTAAGAACAGATTGAATGGGCCAGCCAGATAGCTCAGCAGACTAAAGCTCCTGCTTCGGCAGAGCGCAGCACCCCCAGGGTTTGATCCCCAGTGTGCCTTGCCAGCCCTGCCCCTGGGACTCACTGAGAGGCAGACTGAGACTGGGTGTGGTGGTGTGCGCCTGTAATTCCAGCACTTGGGAGGCTGAAAAACAGGAGAATCACTATGAGTCCAATCTACATAGTAAGACCCTGTAGACCCTGGCTTAAATTCATTAAAAAAAAAAACAAAAAACACCAGATTGAATAAGTGGATTGTTCTAGGATTAGGGATGGGAATGGAGAACAAAGGGTAATAAATTTAGGTTTTATTTTTATTTAGCACAGGCTAGTAAAATGTTAGGCTTAACTGCACTGCTAAATTCAATTTACACGAAAGTAATTCATCACATTAATTTACTATCCATAAATTATCTATATCTATTTTTACTCCATTAAAAATAATGATGAATAAAAGAAGCATTTTAGAACAATTTTGTTTTATACACCCATCTGCATAACTCAATCATTCACTGATAGTTATTCCATTTCTCAGGCTAACCTATTTAATACACCAAGCTACATTTTAATTACTTGTAGGTCTATCCACTGTGGGACACTAACCAATTTAAAACACAGTTTTACATGTGAAGACACAGAAGGTAATATAATTGAAAGATAATTGAGCCAGGTGTGGTGGCAAACACCTGCTATTCCAGCTACTCCAGAGGCTGAAGCAAAAGGATTGCTAGCTCAAGGCTTGCCTGGGCAAGTTAGTGAAACCCTATCTCAAAATAAAAGTTTAAAAAAGGGCAGGGAATATAGCTCAGTGGTAGAGTTCCTACTATGTGAATCCCTGGGTTCAATTCCCAATAAGGTAAGGAAAGAAAAAAGCAATTTTAGGAGAAAAGAAGGCTAATGAAAACCTTAAAAAAAATCACAAGCAATAATATATTAGTAAATATTTACATTTGCTATTGAATACTTTTCTGATGTCTTAATATGTCATTTACTAACATTTCTATTTTTATTGTAAGTTATCACAAAAAAGTTATTAGTCTTTATTATGACCCAAAGGAAATAAAAAAATTTTAAATTGACTAAAACCACAAGCAGAAAAATGATACACACACTGATTTAAAGTTGATAACATAAAAATAAAACAGAATGGAGTGATGAAGGCAGTGTGGCTGGCCTTTGTTTTTGTTTTGTTTTTACAAAAGATACACAGAGCTAGTGTGGTGGTACATGCCTATAATCCCAGCTACTCAGAAGGCTGCAGAAGACAGATTACAAATTTGAGGCCAGCTACAGCAATTTAGGAAGGTGCTGTCTCAAAATTAAAAAAGGGCTGGGAATAGAGTGCAGCACTGAGTTCAACCTCAGTACCTCAACAAACAAAAACAAAATGAGAAAAACAAAAATACACCTTACTTTTTAGAGATAAATATAAAATATGTATGCACAAAAATGATACAATGACTGGCATTTGCCTCCAAACACTATAAAGAGGGGAGATAAAGAAGTGTTACGGGTAAACAAAACCCAACTGAACTACAAGATAGTTGTTTGAAGCTGGGTAATGGGCATATAAGGGTTCGTTATACTGTTCTCTTCTGTATATGTTTGAAATTCTCTATATTAAAATTTAAGGTAGGGGCTGGGGAGATGGCTCAGTAGGATAAGCGCTTGACTGGCAAACGCAAGGATCTGAGTTCAATCCCCGGTTCTGCAAAAAAAAAAAAAAAAAAAAAATTAAGGTAAAGTGGCATAGAATCTTAAGCAACCCACTTGTTTGAGGGATACATCTATGCAGAAATGATAGCATTTATTGCTACCAAAATCAAAACAAAGCAATACAAAACTATTATAAATTATAATTTCTCTCAGATGCACAAGATAACAATTAGGTAATTTTTTAAAGGCAATAAATGATGAATCTACATAAAATTCCTATCCCAAGTTCTAAAATGTACTCTACATTTCTTGGTCATTTAATTCTTTTTAATATCTGACAGAAAAAGCTTTGTAAAATCAGTAAAAGTCTTTACTGAACATAAGAATACACGATGAATAAGAGAATATGTATTGCCTATTTAAGCACACTTTTTAGCAAATTTTTTAACATGGGGGAAATAAACATTGGTATCTCAGTTTACAAATTTAATTCTTTGCATGACTTTTGTTGCAAGCCAAACTGAATACAAACCAAATCACTCAGTGGTTAGGTTTATATTGGCCTTATAAGGAAATCTGATTCAGTTTTCATGCAACTTGGTTTGCAATTAGAATCATGGAAAGAAGTTCATGAAGCAAGGTACCACTGTATTGTCCTGAATTCTGCAAAAAGGGAATTGACTAGACTACATCATATAAAAAGGTCCTTATTACCAACTTGTCCAGATGTAGGAAGAAATTGCTATACAATTAATGTACATGACTTATGTGATTAATATAAAAGTCAAACAAAAGCTACCATGTATCTAATATTATATAAGAAATATTTCAGCTTACCATAAACAACTGGATACACTGTCCCTCGTATGCCTGATGCTGGACAATGCATGTTTTTTCCATTCAAATATACATTTAATTCTACATGGTCATATGTAATACCCTATGAAGGAAAGAAAAGTTAGAAAAGATAAAAATATAAATGTTCTACAACTACTCAACAGCCAGATATCAATGATTTGGAATCATAGAAACAAATAACTTTGCATAAGATTATAGTAGTTTCATTAAAGGTTTACACTTTGGTAGAATTTCACTAGAACTGAAGTAAAGATATCAGTAGTGACTAACAGTAGCAGTGCACACCCGTAAGGTCAGCATTCTGATACAGTGAGGCAGGAGGACTGAAAGTTTGAGTCCAGTCTAGGCAACCTAGCAACTTAGTGAGACCATGTTATGTTTTAAAGCAAAAAGTGTAAAAGGGCTGGAGATCGATCTGCCTGCCTACCTGCCTGCCTGTCTAAGTGTGAAGGCCCTGTGTTCAGTTCCTTGTAACACACACATACACACACACACACACACACACACACACACACACACGAATATATATTGGGAAAAAGATTGGGTAATACCAAAAGTCCACAATAGAGGTTCTATTTTGCATATAAGGAAATATAAATGCTGCATACGTGAACAGAGAGACAACACTGCTCTGTATATAGGATTTGAACTTAAGGAGGGAAAGCAGGCTTCGTTATTAGGATTTAGGGCACACAAGTTACTTTTCTCAAATTGTGAAGAAATATTTTTGTACAACTTATTTCCAAAAACACACATTTTTGAATCTCTTTATTCTGGCCTCAAACATTTCAAGTATTTTACTATAAAGTAAAACTAATATATACAATTAAATATGACTAATAGCTAGTATCAAGTTAGAAAAATAGAAAAACATGCTTAAATTTTTCTTTCTCCTTTTTAATTTTTTATAACTTTTTTGATCAACTTTGCAATCTTATATTTGGTAATCTGAACAATTAATTTGAAGATAATAATATGCCATACAGCAAAAACCATTGCTGTATTCCTATTATTTTTTAGTAAAATTCTGTATTGTTTCTAATGCTTTCCTCCTCCTCCCCCTCCTCCTCTTCCTCCTCCTCCACTTCTTCCTCCTTCTCCTCTTCCTCCTCCTCCTCCTCCTTCTTTTTTTTACTATTATTCTCTTTAAAACATAAAAAATAGGGAAAACTATAGCTCCAAAGATTTCAAACAAACAATGGGAAAAAAAATCACTTTATACAGCTTTGACAGGAAAAAGAAATCACAACTAGTAACAACTGTTATTATTAAAATGCTAGAAAACACGACAGGCCCTATTATGAACCAAGCAATAGTCTAGATACTTCATATTTACTCTTGTCTCGTAAGATACACATTAACCCCATTTTAGCACTGAGGTAGCTAGGGCACAGAAAGGCAATTACTTAAGGTTGCACAGCTAGAAAATAGCAGAGCTGAGGTTTAAGCCAATTCATGTCGGCTTCAGAACATTTGTTCTTGGGGGGGCCTGCGGGTTAGCTCAGTTGTTTAAAGCACCTGCTTGGGCAAACTCATTCATGTGCAGGGGACTGTGATTCGATCTCCAGCTCCACAAGCTGCACCAGTCCCACCCTTAAGACAGCCTGAGATAGCCAAAAACAAACAAACACCCCAAAACCAAAGCAAACAAAGAAAAAAAACCCACTTGTTCTTAATTTGAAATCTGAAATGTTTCAAATTCTCAAAGTTCTTGAGTGTTGACATGACACAAGTAGAAAATTCCACACCTGCCCTCCAAACACAAAGTACACTAAAAATATTGTGTGGATTACCTTCAGGCTATGTTTATAAGGTATAAGTGAAACAAATGAATTTCATATTTAGGCTTGGGTCCCATCCCTATAGTATCTTATTATGTGTATGCAAATATTCCAATATGCAAAACAACTTGATATCAGAAGCACTTCTGGTTCCAAGCATTTCCGATAAGAAATATCAACAAGAAATCTTTCCTTTAAAAAATTAAGACTAGATAGCAGATATTCAATAGATAAATCATCAGAGATCAAGCAACTAGTCACCTCAAGGATTTCTGAACTGGCTCAATTATATCAAAAGCTTTTTAGTGGTGTAAAAAGATCTCACAGGTCATCTAATTTGGAGGAGGGTGCTGAGAATTAAACCCAAGGCCTTCACACCCAAATTATATCCCCAGGTCTTATTTATTTATTTATTTATTTAGGCAAGGTCTTTGTTATGGTTTATATCTATCTAGATGTCACCTTAGTGTTTCATGAACTCATGAGTTTGGGCTTTTGGAGGTTAGTGAATTACTGGTATGAGGTGCTGGACTAGTCCACTGATGCAGGTTCATAGCTGGGTGTGATATTCAAGGGGTGAAGCCTGGTGGGAAGAGGTGAACCATGAGGGGTATGGCCTGGAAGGGATATACCCCTCCTCTTTCCTTGAGCCCATCTCTGCTTCCTGCTAGCTATGCTAGGAACTGCTTCTCCTACATCACACTGCCCTGCTATGAACTGAAATCTCTACAAACTGTGAGTTGACATAAACTTGTCTCAGCAGTGAGAAAGTAAGACAGGCTTACTAGGCTGCTAAGTTGCACAGGCTGGGCTCAAATTTGTGATCTTTCTGCATCAAGCTCTCATAGGGCATGATATAAGAACAGGCATGCCTCCATTGCCAGCCTAAAGGCTTTATAGTTTTAGCCTTTACATTTAGGTTTATGAAGCATAATTTTTTTTCTTGTATCTTAGGGAAGGATCTACAGGGTGTTCAGGGTCTCACTACTACATCAGACTTGTAGTGATTCTCCTGTTTACAGCCTACCAAGGGCTAGGAATACAGGTGTGTGCCACCACGCCCAGTCTCAATTGCCATCTCAGTGTGTCCCGGGGGTGAGGCTGGCAGGGCAGGCCTGGTGATTGAACCCCCAGCCCCTGTGCCTGCTTGCAAGCACTTTAATCCACTGAGCTATTTGGCCAGCCCTTATGAATCATAATTATTTAGTTTTATTTTTTTGCAGCATTAGAGATTGAACCCAAGGCTTTTGCACTGAGTTAAAATCATAGACCCTTTGCCAACAAAATAAAGTAGATTAGAAAATTTCCAAGGTATCTTCCACATCTTAAAAAACAAAAGCTAAGTACAGAAAAAAATAAAATAAAATTATAGTTCTTTTCCATTTTTTGACATTTTTAAGATAGGGTCCTCTAATTCACTAAATTGCCCAGGCTTGGCTGGGACTCTCATCCTCTGCTTCAGCCTCCCAGAGCGCTGGGATCATAGGTATGTGCCACCATCACATAGTCTTAATTCACTCTTTTTCTAGGTAAGAGAGCAAAGGTCCACAGAATCAATGTAGTAACTGCTATGAAGAATTCTCTTTAAATTTTAGCGAAGCCAGGGTTAGATTAAATAATGATGAATAGTGGTGGCATGCCTATAATCCCAGCGCTGGAGAGGCTGAGACAGGAGGATCACTATGCATCTGAGCTGTATAGCGAGACCCTGTACCAAACAAACAAACAAACAAACAAACAAACAAATAAACAATCTAAAAATAATAGTAATAAAGCTGATTCCTGCACTTAGTTGTTTTTAAGTGAAAAGGTCTCCTTTCATTAAAACACCCACCCCACACAATCATATAAAAGAAGAAAGTATGTCCCTTTCTCTGTGGGACTATAGGAAATCAAGTACCTCCAAAAAGTAGTTTGTAATGCAGGTACCTTTCACTACCCAGTGGCAGCACAACCTATTGCAATGATTGTTTCATATTTAGTTCATTTTTCCAGTGCCACTGTCAACAATTTGGGAAAATTTGTTTTAATGTGTTTGAACTAAGACGATAAAATTAATATATAGGGTAATGTTTTACTATTCTTACTGTACATAGTTCACATTTTTAGTTTTTATTTTATCGGAATGAACATGCAAATTCAAGTCTAATTTTACAATGCTGACTAACTAAAAAGGGCATTTGGGACATTCTACTTAAGAATCCTATCTCTATTTTTGTATTCTCCAATAAGCTTTTCCTACTCTTAACCTCCTCTGTCATTTGGAATTCATTCTTTGATTTCATGGGACACAAAGTAGCAGGTTGGGAGCTATAGTTTTCCTATACCTTTTTGGAGCCCCAGGCAGATAACTGGAAGGAGGAATAAGAGTTTGTTTTTATTTCATGGCACTTCTATATATTTGACTGGATTCTGGGTTATGATTCATTTTAGGTAATCAAAAATTGTCATCTTTTGTCAGATTCTTATACCTTGAGTTTTTTGTTAAAATGATAATAGCAACTATCGCTAACTTCATGGCATTTTAAATATTTTTATGATTCCCAATCAGACTACAGTTGTTTATGATGATAAACTTTTATAGACTCAAGCATCTGGTTTTCCTTTACTTGTGTTCCAGCTACATGTGATGAAATATGCATGATCATCCAATCTGAGACAGCCAGATGATAAAGATACACAACCATGTGCTTGTATGATTATTACATAATTGTGTTATACTAGAGGTATTTAAAGATTGTGCAGTACAAACAATGTTGCTCTAATGACTAGAGAACAGGCATTAATCATATCAAAAGTACATCTATAAACAACTACATTCTACTTAAATGTCACTTTGGTAACAGAAGATGGTTAAAGATAACAAATTAGGTCAAAGATTCTTTATATCTTTTAATGCACTGAACCCTTGTCTTATGAACTCAATTTATTCCAGAAGGTGCTAAACTCCAAGAAATTTTGCAGATGGAAGAAACAACAAATTTTTCAGACTCCTTTTACTAGGATCTACTAGATTAATCTTGTAAAGGGTGTTAGTTCATAGCTGCCAAACTGCAACATGACTTCTATCCCATTAGTTTAAGTAACTGTGTTCTCCCCTACACCGACCTTTCTCAGCTCAAAGCAGCTAGATCAACACTTCGCTCATTCTCGCCTAACAGCAGTTGGGGCACTTCTTGTAGGGGCGGGATATTATAAGCAGCTAAGTTAGATAAAAATTAATATAGAGTCAGAAATACACTGGGCTTTCAAGGAAGTCAGTGAAAAATGCAAATATCAGAATTATGGTATCTGAAGAAGACAAGGTCTCAAATAACAGTCACAATGGCCTGAGTCACATATTTCCATAAGGGATAAGCAGAACTGAAGTAGCTAGCATCCAGTCCATTAAGTCCAGATATACACAAGCTACCTGGGTGGGTGATCAGAACACCTGGGCCCAGCCCTTCCCCCAGTGTTTCTGTTTGAGAAGTCACAGATAAGCCAGAGTTGATGATGTCACTTACATACCCTTGTTACATGTCCTGCTACTCTACTGGACCAATATTACCTAAGCAGCTATACTTGTAATCTTACTGGTTAATTAGTTTGACCCATGTTGTATTCATATTTGTGTCTTCGCTATGTAAATTACCTCGACAAAGGGCCTCTGCAACCCCTTTTCAGGACCCCTCTGGTCTCTCAGAACCTATTTCTCAATAAACTTTTACTACTTTTATGAATGAATGAAAGAATCAATCAATCAATCAGGCATTCTTAAATCTGTCAATTTGTGATGTGAGTTATCGCAATGAATGGGATAGGAAGGCAAAAAAACCACACAGAAATACAGTATACCAACTAAGGAAAACATTTGCTATGGATTATTCTTTATGTTTGAATTTCACCTTTTAGTCTGAATAAGCTAACCACTTCACCCACATTTTAAGAATCTTTTTAAAGAAATAACTATTAGAATAAGATGGTCCATATTACTGTCATCTGGCAATGACTTATAAACACAGACCAACAATTCTGTGAGAAATCTGGGAAAAACAGATCTTGAAAATGATTTTTTAATAGCTTTTCTTTAGTCAATTTAAGAAAAATAAGCTTAGAACGATTATAAACTATTCTTCATTTTTTTAAGTAGCAGAAAAGAGAAGATCAAGCCATAATTAAAAATATAATTTCCATAAGACATGGTGGCATGCTCCTATGATCCCGCTATTCACCAGGTGAATCGCAAGGCTGAGGCCATCCAGGACCAATTAGGACCTATCTCAAAATAAAATTTTTAATACATGGTGATGTAGCTTAGCATTCCCTGGGTTTAATGCCTAGTACCAGCAAACACAAACACACAAACAAAAAGAACTTAATTCCCACGCCTTTCTTCAATCTTTTAAAACACTGCACAATCTTTTAATAAAAAAATCTGTGTTTGTCTGGTCTGGGTCATCTTATTACTAGAAAATGTTACTTTGATGTCCAAGGTTTCCAGCACTATGTTCTTAGCTAATAGCTAAAAGCTGGGACTCTGTGCATAAGATTCTTGGATAATAAGAAGTGTTAGGAAAGACAGAAAAACATTTCTATATTTTATCTTCAATTGATGGCTTTCTACAATCAAACCTTTGAATTTTGAGGCCATTTCTTTGAAGAATTCTAAATGGAGGAAATTCAACTACATTAAGTTTACTAAGACCAACTCAGGATAAAATGCTGCTCTACATGAGCACCTATAGCAACTATTCTTGCAGGAAACTGTACCACTCATTAGACTGCATTGTAGAGATTTAGAATCTAAACTATGAACTTCAAGAATAAAGTACATCTACCCAAAAGCTGCTCAAAAGTTTAATCCCTTCCAGGGATGTGAACTCCTCCCAGAGACTCACCACAACATCTCCCTCCTGTGGAAGGCTGTTTGCTGGTAGCCTATTTTTCTCTTCATTGTTGTGGTACAGGGCTCCATCATTTCTCATCACAAGACTATGCATGTCTCGGCCAAGAGGAATCTGGTTCAGGTTTACCTTCTGAGTCGCAACACCAATACCCCAGATTCCTGAAAATATAATAGTGTACATGTCCCCATATCTTTTTTAAAAAATAATTTTATTGAGAAACAAATGGCAATGAGACAGTTTCAAAACTGATTAGGACAGTTTCAATAATTAATACATTGCATATTGTTGTCTTCTTAGTGGTTATTCATAGTACATGATGCAGGTATGATATCCTGTCCACAAACACTATTAGTACAAATCTTTCTATTCATTGAATTAAGAGAAAGTAGCTGTATATTTATCCTATTTTGAATATACACATACAAAATGGTCCTTCAGTCATATCCTCTTTTTTTGTTTAGTTTTGTCAGAGAAGGGTATTCCATTGTCATTTAAATATTGTAGGTACATGCATTCAGCAAAATACTCCAATATAGGCCAGTAGTCCATAAGAGTAGTGGGTTATCCGTAGGACTGGCAATGTCAGAAGTTGTTGACTTGAGCCTTTTACAGCTCAGCATGTTAATATTGCTTTACTTTTTATATCATTCCCAAATCTTAAGAAAAGATGTATAAATGAGTTATTTTGAAGAGTACAAAGTGTTTTTAAAAGAACTGTCATATCAGTAAATTATTTTGTGTTATTTAAAAAAAAATCTCTTAAAATGAATTTGCAAGGTGAACTATGTTTTCCATATATGAAGCACAACGCAGGAGATAAGCAAGTGAGTTCTAGAGTTGTACTACTGAGGTTTAAATCCTGACTTAGCTGTATTATCCTAGGTGAATCACTTCTGTGTTCTCATCTGTGAACTGTAGCACAGTGTAACAGTACTCGCATTAAAGGGTTAAGAAATGATATAAAATAATCCCAGTAAACCACTTAGAATAGGATTAAAAAAAAATCAGGTTAAGTAAAGCACATTTACATATTCAAGAATGCGAGCTATTATCATTATTCTTTTCTCTTTTTGAAACAGGATTTTGTTATACAGTTCAAGCTGGCCTTGAACTCACAGCAATACGGCCTCACCCTCAGTGCTGGGATAATAGGTGTGCAGTACTCTGCACTTGGTTATTTATTACTGTTTTCTTTTTTTTTTTTTCCATAATTTTATTGAGAAACAAATAGCAATGAGACAGTTTCAAACCAAACTGGTAGGACAGTTTCAATAATTAACACATTGCATACATTCTGCATAATGGTTAATTGCTGTACAAGATGTGGACTTAATATCCTATTTACAAGCACCATTAGAACAAATGCCTCTATTCATCAAGAGAATGTAACTATATATCTATCCTAACCACTTTGAACACACAGATACAAAATGGATATTCATCTGTATCCATTTTTTTGTTAAGTTCCATTATTTGAATATTATAGGTGTGTAAACTCAGCAAAATATTCTAAGAGTCCAGTAGTCCATAATAGTATCAGGTCTTCCACTTCACTGGCAATGTCAGAAATTGTTGACCTGAGTCCCCTACAGCTCAACATAACAGCATGGCTTTGCTTCTTATACTTCATTTTTATACTTTTCTGCTGGATGGTTAAGACCAAGGTAAAGCAGGACCTATGTAACAAGAATTGTAGCTTTTGGGTCTGATAAGGTCAGTGAAATCCCCTCAGGATTTATCCTGAGATCCTGTACCACAGATTGTAGATCCTTTGTCAGTATCAGCCATGTGGATGAGTCACGGCCATTGCTTGGCCAATGTGCTCTCTGTGAAAGCCTGAGAGAATGTTTTCTCTCCATGTGACTCTCCTTAGGCACACTCTACATCATCGATCACTTTCCTCTTTGGCCCCATAATCTCCTTGATCAGAAAATTTGGACACTATTGAGTTACGTGACGTTACAGTACAAGTTCTCATGTCCTGAGTCTTAATCGACCTTGGAAGGCTAAGGCCAAAATGTTGGCTTTCCTTGCAGCTCTCCTTTTTCTCTAATTTTGGTCTGCAAACTTAGGCTGTTAACCCTCCAGAAGACAAGCTTATTGTTATTACCATACAACCTAGGCTGTTAAGCTTAACCTCACTATCTGTCTGAATATCAAACATCTTAGGCATAACATGGAACAGGTATTTTTTATCAAGTATTGATATGTTGAACTCTTAGTCCCTACAGAATATGATGAAAAAACATTTAAAAATTAGAATATATTGTAAAAAATAGGCATAAAGGATTATATATTTATGTTTACACATAAGTCCAAAAATCTAACCATATAAAACTTTGAAGCAGGACAGTCCCACTATATTCCTTTTCTTATCTCTTGGCTTCATTCACCACCCCCTTCTTTTTGAACAATCATCTACCCAAGAGACAGCACAGCACCAACTGGCATGTCATGACAAGCAGCCCCTACTCAGAAGTCCAGAATGACAGGCACTCCAAGAATGAACCTACTATTACAGATTACAATTCTCAGTGCAGTTGCTTAGTTCACAGGTATCAGTATATATAGTTAGTCAGGGTGAGAATCTTTCCAATTAGCTGCTAGATTCAGAAATCATCTGCAGATTCTCAGGATCATTGCCTTGCCCATCATCTACATATAACTGTATGGCTTGACATTGTCATGTTTCCTAGCTCTTTACCTTTCCCTCTTTTGATTAGTTAGTCCTCAAGATCCTCCTTTCCTTTTACTTGTATGATACCTTTCTATTTGTATTTCTTCTTTTGAGTTCTTATACTACGGAAACTATACGATATTTACACATGTGTGTCTGGTTTATTTCACTTATGAGTATATGTTCAAGTGCCATCCACTTCAATATAAAGCTTCAAGTTTATCATTCTTTATAGCTGAGTAATACTTCATTGTGTAAAAATACCACATCTTTTTCAACCACTCCGCAGGTAACGGGCATCTTGGTTTTTTTCTAAGATTTGGCTATCACAAATTGTGCTTCTATAAACATAGGCACACATATATCCCTATGATATGATGTTTTCAGATCCTCCGGGAAAATTCCCAGTAGAGGAATAGCTAGTTTAAACTGGATTGTCAGTACAACTTTTCTAAGGAGTCTCCACATTGATTTGCATAACGTTTGCACCAGTCTGATTCCCACCAGAAGTGGAGAAGGGTTCCTTTTTCCCCACAGCCTCTCCAACATTTGTTGTTGGGTGATTTCTTTATGATAGCCATTCTTTCCAGGGAGAGATGATTTCTCAATGTTGTTTTAATGTGCATTTTGTGGATGGCTAGTGATGTGGAGCATTTTTTTATATATTTATTCGCTTCTTTAATTTCATGCTCTGAGAAGCACGTGTTCATCTCGGATGCCCATTTCTGGATTGGGTCTTTAAATCTTGGGGCCTTAGCGTTTTTTAGTTCTTTATAAATTCTAGAGAGCAGACCTTTGTCTGAGTACTTATTTGTTATGATTTTTCCCAAATTCGTGGGTTGTCTTTTCACTTTGTTGTTAATTTCTTTTGACGTGAAAAAACTTCTCAGTAAGCGCAGGTCCCAGTTGTTAAGTCTTTCAACTGTTTCCCATGTGATTTGATTTCTGTTCATGAAGTCTTTGCCTACCCCTATGTCTCCAAGAGTTCCTCCTACTTTCTCTTCCAGGAGATTTAGTGTCTCTGCTTTAATGTTTAGATCTTTAATCCATTTTGACTTTAGTTTAGTGCATGG